GATTTTCGGCAGGTTTGAGGCCTTTTTCAGCCTCCCAGAGACTTGAGGAAGGCTTCTGCAGGCTCTGCAGGCTGAAAACTAGGCCCGTTTCATCACTTCCGGTATTTCTGGAAAAACAGAAAGTGACGAAACAGGCCTAGTTTTTGGCCTGCAAAGCCTTCCTCAAGCCTCTGGGAGGCTGAAAAGGGCCTCAAACTGTCCAAAAATCAACTGTGAAGCGCACACATGCGCTTCGTGGTAAGTTTGCCTGCAGCTTGCATGCCGGTGGCCATCACGGACCTATGTTCCCTACAGTAGCCACTCTGTGAAGTGAGTGGGACGGAGACAGAGTGTGTGGCCCAATGTTATGCAGCTGTCTTTCGTGCCTAAGATAGGACTTGTTGTGGCCCACCAGATTAGGACAGTGAGGAGGAACATGGGCCAGTCCTGGAGTCTGGGAAAGGCTCCGATGAGGGCTCTGTGTCGGAGGCAGAGATGGGGCCAGGGCCATCCAACAGTTACCAGCTGCCTTCGTAGTCAGAGATCAGTGGGGAAGAAGAACAGCTGGAGCCTGTTCCCGATGTGCACATGCACAGTACTGCCAGAAGAAGGGAACAGCTAAGGAACAAGGGTCGACTTGGGAGTAAAGCCACAGGTGGACGGTGAATGGCCCCTCCCACAGGGAATAAAAAAGGAGCGAAAAGGGAGTGGGGTTTGCAGGAGACAATTAGTTCAATTCATCAGGGTAAAGATCTGTTCCTGCATTCTTGCCAAGAATTGTCTGCTACAGAGTGGTGTTTGGAAGGTATCAGCCTGGCAGCTCTCCAAGCCTGATAAAGGTCTGTAGTTGTGAAATCTCTTGAAAGACTGTTGGCCGGGACTTTGCTGGAGAGGAATTCACTTTAAACTAAATAAAACGGGTTTTATCAGGACGAGGAGTCGGCTTCTAGGTGAGAATGCCTAGTTGAAAACAGGACTAGAACTCACCAACTCCCAGTTTCTAGCCTGGTGCCCTAACCACTTGACCAAATAGATTCTCTAATAACTCTCTAAACTCTTTAGGGTTTCCTGTCCTTCAACTCAGATTTTCACCTAAACTAAAAAGCATCACACCCTTTAGCCTATTCTCACGAGGACTCTCTAGCATTTAACTATGTACAACACTCCAGCTTCTTTTTTTTTTCATGGTATGTGGGAAAAGGTAGTTGCAAATTGTGCCTTTTCCACGTGCTTCTTCCCATTTTAAAACATGGACAAGTGGGATCCTTAAGAGGAGAACAAAGAGGGTTTTTTTTTAATGGGATGGTACAGATAAATAGCTCAGAACTGAAAGTGACATCAGGCAACCTTACTGTACTAAAATAAAACACTCTTCGTAATTGTGGTAGCAACTGGTGGTCAGGAAAGTACCTTTATATGGGAACAGAACGAGGAACCTGTAAGACCTAAATTGTTCCACCTACTGGGAATCTAAGTTTGCTATCATCACCTGTCATGACTTGTATCCAATCAGCCTCAAAGAGACCAAGCGCCAGATTCAACTGGAATGGGGCTTTGGATATGGATGCATGGGTGTATGGAATTATTTCCTCTGCTTCTGTGGACTTCTTTCAGTGATATCCTAGAAACCTGATGTCTAACTTTGGCAACTTTGAGATTTGCTGGCTGGGGAATTCTGGGAATTGAAGTCCACTGGTCTTAAAGTTGCCAAGGCTGAACATCCCTGGTTTAGATAGAACATCCTACCTCAAAGGTTATCTCATTTCTACCTTACTTCTGTTACATTCCCAGCACGTATAACCCAGCACTGCTGCCAGTCAGTTCAATCAATCAATCAATCAATCAATCAATCAAGTTTATTACAGTCACAGACCAGAACAAATATATTGACTCAGTCAATATACAATTAAAAATTATAGTATGAAATAATAAATAACAACTAAAATCAATGAGAAAATCCAGTCTGTCAATTATACATGGTCTAACTATACTAAAGGGACGCGGTGGCTCAGTGGCTAAGACGCTGAGCTTGTCGATCAGAAAAGGTTGGCAGTTCAGCGGTTCAAATCCCTAGCGCCGCATAACGGAGCGAGCTCCCGTTACTTGTCCCAGCTTCTGCCAACTTAGCAGTTTGAAAGCATGTAAAAATTCAAGTAGAAAAATAGGGACCCCTTTGGTGGGAAGGGAACAGCATTCTATGAGCCTCTGGCGTTTAGTCATGCCGGCCACATGACCATGGAGACATCTTCGGACAGCGCTGGCTCTTCAGCTTTGTAACGGAGCACCGCCCACTAGAGACGGGAACAACTAGCACGTATGTGCAAGGGGAACCTTTGCCTTTACCCTTAACTATATTAAAATTGCAATCCATAAACTCTGTGTGGCTCGTTGTAAGTTTAATACTAAAAGGGTTTGCCACATTTGTTATATAACTATGGTGGATTAGAGAGGTGTTTCCGACAAATCCCCAGTTTTAAATTCAGGTGATTTTCCCTTCCTGCTGCAGAACCAGAAAACTAGTCAGCTATATCCCTGCAGTCATCGAACCAGGGGTCAATCATGCATTCCTGATCTGTACCTTCATCCAGTGACACATCATGGATGGACCAGGTATTATTCATACAGGCCTTTACCAGAAGCAAAACCGTCCTGGTAGATCCCCATTTCACTAAAGCAACATGGTTTTTATAAAAGACTTGGTGGGAGTCTTTGTGGAAACCAAGGAAGGAATAGGTGTAAGAGAAGATCGAAAGAATAAAAGGACATCTAAGGAGCAATTAGGTATAGACTGAACATTTAAAAGACGCCGCCTAAACGTGACAGGAGATTTAACCAAATTAGTCGAATTAATCAAATGAGGAATCTCAAACAAATGCTTGGAACCCTGACTAGGAAACTGAACAAATGTCTTCCACTTTTGATATCCCACCCAGGATGTCCATGAACAATTTAGAGGAGGGGTCTCCAATCTTGGCAAGTTTAAGACTTGTGGAGTTCAACTGGAAGTCCACAAGTCTTGAAGTCGCCAAGGTCGGAGACCCCTGATTTAGAGTAATCATCATTTCATAACTGGAAATATTTCTGGAAAGAGATCAAACAAGTCCAAATGATAGTAGTCATGGAAAGGACCTCAACTCTGCACAGGCAGACCCCTAGGTTAAGAACGAGTTCTGTTTCTGTGCCAGGCTTCAACTTAAATTCATACGTAAGTTAGAACCAGTACCTATGAATGGGCCATATTATTAAAAATAAAGGACAGCATTCTCCTTCCTTAAGCTGAAGAACCGCTGAAGCCTCACAAAGTTTTCACGAACTGCTGAAAAACAAGCTGTCCATTGAAAAACACGTGGCTTCAGCAATGCATGAAAATATTGTTTTCTTCCCTGTTCTCAATTCTTCAGCAATTTGTCGGCCTGAGGAAGAAGTAAGCCCTTGGCCATCTTTAGTGATAGGCAGTCTATTTGTAAGCGTGAACCGTCCACAAGTTGGGACGTTTTTAAACCAGGGATTGCTGTACAGCAGAATGACCTTGAGTATACCTATGACCCTTTGCTCATTTGGAAGTGAAAAGGTCACTCTAAAGCATTTAAATTAAGCCTTGATGCTCTCAAAATTTATTTGACTTCAATTTTTACAATCTCTGTAGAGATTCTCACCCTGCCCATCTTCCAGGAGCCACATCATCCAAACTTGCTCTCCAAGGCATCATGGTGAAGAATTAATTTGGTGCTCCTAAGTTGAAAGAGTATCTCACCAGAACAGTTATGGAGGCAGCATCCAATTATAGCTAAACTCAGACACACTCAAGAGTGCAGACAGATGAAAAGTGAAGATTACATAGGAAAACTCTTAAGAGAGTGATACATAGATATGTAAAATGGATAAAGTTAGTTTTTAGTAACCAATATAAGTAAAAGATAACAACTATTGGTGATACGTACGAATAGATGATAGAAAATATAAGATAATATTGTACGTCGATGCAAAATATCGTTTGAAAATGTAATTTGATATGCACTGGTGGAAAACAATAAAAATCACATATTAAAAAAAAAAGATTATAGACAGATTATGCCAGCTTAATTTTTGAACTGGACCAAGGTGAACCTTTTCAGAAGAGCTGAGGGGGTCCTGAAATTTCATAGCACTTCAGCCTCAGCCAGCATGACTAACGTAGCTGAGCAACATTTGGGAAGCTACAGCTTTCCCGTGTCTCTTCTGCGCACAGATTTCCTTGTTGCACGAAAGTCCATGTTTGCAATCAGTTGGGGTGTGTGTGTGTGTGTGTGTGTGTGACAGAGGGGAGGGGGGAATACACCACGTGCCCTTTCCCAGTGCTCCAAGGTACGACCAGAATATGGGAACGGCGTTGGGTGTTGGGGGTGCGTGTCTTAAAATGCCTTTTGAGTCAACAGAGGCCCCTCCGCAATCCAAATTAATTCACGCCCCGGCACTAAGCATTCCCAGCTTCCTCTAATAAGGATCCTGCCTTTAGAAACGGTTAGATTCAGTCAGTATATGAAGCAGTCTCCCTTCTCCATCTGTTCAAGGGGAAAAAAAAAAAAAGAGGAACAAACAAGCCGCGGCTGAGAGAAGGAAGGAAGGAAACCTGCTCAACCATCTCCTAGGAAAACCATGCCAGAGTGACAAAAGCCCCTCCTCTCTCTCTACACACACACACACACACACACACACACACAAAGAGGCAGAAGAGGAGTGGGGGTGCTAAGAAAGCAGCAGAGACACAGCTCCAGAAGGTACCCAAAATAAGCCACCCAGCGCTGAGACACCCCCTCAGTTAAGAGAGCCGCGGTCAACGACAGAAGCAATTTCAGCTCACTCATGGTTTTTATTTTTCCCCGCCACCCACGTGCCTATAAACATATTAAAAATGGGCTGGTTAATGTGTGCTGGCTTGACTCATCAGCCATATGATCAAAGACAAGGGCTTTTTTTTTTTTCTTTCCCTTCCCCCCCAAAAAAAAACCAAAAAAGAGGAGGAGAGAAACGGCTTTACTCACTGTCTTGGGTACAATCTGTTTCTTAGGCTGCCCGATCTTGAATGGAATCCTGGATTGGGAAAAAGAGAAGAGAAAAGGCAAGAGATTAAGAACCTTGGCAAACAAGCCAGCATGTCCTGTTTAATGTCCACCCTTCCCGTTCCCCCCCGCCCCCGAGGAGGGATAGATTAGGAATTTTAAAAATGGGGGAGCCGAGGGTCGCGCAGGCACTCCCCATCTTTGCTTGGTGGGCCCAGATCCTCAGCTCCCCAACAGGGCCAGAGCAGGGTGGCGAGATAGGGATAGGAATACCGCAGGCCTGAGCAACTTCGGCAGAGCAAAAGCTCCGCGTCGTTTTCAGCCGAAAAGCAAACGGCGGGCATCGGGGGTGAAATGAACCCCCCCCCCGGAAATGTCTGGAGCAGAACGGGCATCGGGAAGGCATCCGCACAGGTCTGCAAAGCGAGCTGTCAAAACGTTCGTTGGGAGATCTCGGTCAGCGACGAACCTCATTTTCACGGCCGCTGAGAAAGAAGCAACACTTGGCCCCCAAAAGTGGGTTTCAACCCCTTTGATATTAAACTCCCCTTTTCACAATGTATGTAGATTTATTCCACTTTCTTCAACAGGTTATGTGGCCGTTAACAAAAGCATCACACACCAGGTCTACAGCAGAAAGCCGAGAAAAATTAGCCCCACTTTCAGAATTCTGCTTTTAATGCAGGCATTAAAAATGGATAGGCTTTTCTCAAGCCCACCTTGAACCCCCAAAGTGGAAATAATGCTGCTTAAAATAAATAAAGAGCATTGTTTCTCTTGGCCATTCCTTCCAAAGGCAGCCCAGGATACCAGTTCATTCACTCGCATTGGCTAGGACATCAATGTTTCATTGCATACTTCTCCTCCAATACATACGTGTTCTTTTGCCTCTAGCAGAAGCCACTCAGCAAAGAACGAGGCCTATTTAATATGATTTACATGTGGGGAAATATGTGCAAAGGTATCTAGACATAGTCGTGCCTCAAGGCAACCTTAGAGGCAGAAGGAGCCCAGATGGTCTTAAGAAGAAGGCTTCCTCTTTGGAAAAATGTGAAGGGTTAATCCACTAAACCTTTGGCATACTTCCATCTAGCGGGAAGGACAGAACATGATCTGAGGGATCCTTGGTACGCGCTGTGCTTGTTTTCTTGTACATAGCAATAGTACTTAGACTTATATACCGCTTTATAGTGGTTTCCAGCCCTCTCTAAGCGGTTTACTGTGTCAGCCTCTTGTCCCCAACTATCTGGGTCCTCATTTTACCCACCTTGGAAAGATGGAAGGCAGAGTCAATCAAGCTAATCAGGATTGAACTGCTGGCAGTCAGCAGAGTTAGCCTGCAATATTGCATTCAAAGAACTGAGGGAGGGAGGGAAGGAAGGAAAAGGAAGGAAGGAAAATAGCAATGGCCCTTAGACTTATATACTGCTTCACAGTGCTTTACAGCCGTCTCTCTAAGCAGTTTCCAAAGTCAGCCTCTTGCCCCCAACAATCTGGGTCCTCATTTTACCCACCTCAGAAGGATGGAAGGCTGAGTTAACCTTAAGCCCGTCAGGATCGAATTTCTGGCATTCGGCAGAGTTAGCCTGCAATACTGCATTCTTACCACTGTGCACCATGGAAGGGAGGGAGGGAGGGAGGGAGGAAGGAAGGAAGGAAGGAAGGAAGGAAGGAAGGAAGGAACAGCAATAGCACTTAGACTTATATACCGCTTCACAGTGCTTTTACAGCCCTCTCTAAGCCTCTTGCCCCCAACAATCTGGGTCCTCATTTTACCCACCTCGGAAGGATGGAAGGCTGAGTCAACCTTGAGCCAGTAAAGATCGAACTGCTGGCATTCAGCAGAGTTAGCCCGCAATACCACTTTCTAACCACTGCGCCACCATGGCTGCTTTATTACCCAAAGTTGGTAACGTCCTCAGGGCTGGTAAGGAATGGCGTTTGCTCCAGCACTGATGATGTTACCTAGTTTGGGTTATGAAACGTCTACAAGGAAACAAACAAGCACAGAGAGCACCAAGGAGCCCTCAGATCATCTTCTGTCATCCTGGCTGGAGGAGTAGGACGGAAGTGTGAGGAAGGAATCGTGGCTTGACCCTTACACATTTTCCAAACCCAAGCAAGGGGAAGAGCGCAACAACAACCCTTCATTTCAACCCTGGGCTATAAATATTCTCTTTTATCAATAAAACACCATGTACACCATCTCCTTGACTTAACCACAGTTCGTTCAAAGTTACAACGGCACTGAAAAAAGGGACTTAAGACCGTTTTTCACACTTATGACTGTTGCAGCAACCCAGGGGTGAGATTCAGCCAGTTTACACCAGTTCGGGAGAACCGGTTGTTAACTTTCTGAGCAGTTTGGTGAACTGGTTGTCGGAAGGAATCATTGGGGCAGAGAACCGGTTGTTAAATGATTGGAATCCCACCACTGCAGCATCCCCGTGGTCATGTGATTTACATTTGGTTGCTTGACAGCTGGTTCCTATTTATGACGATCCCCTTTTGCGATCTTCTGACAAGCCAAGTCAGTAGGGAAGCCAGATTCGCTCAACAACCGCGGGACTAACTTAACAAGAATGGCAATGAAGGTCATAAAATGAGGCAAAGCTCACTTAAGAAACTGCCCACTTAACAATAGAAATTCTGGGCTCAGAACTGTACTTACTTACACCAGCTCTGAAAGGGAAACCAGGCTGCCTCGGGCAAGCAAGCCGGTGCCCAAAGTTGAGCATGATGCGACTGACGTTTGGTGCGCCTGCTCATGAAGCCGCCTGCCCTGGATACTTTGGGCGCCATTCCACAAATACTACACCACAGGAAACAGCACTCTGCGCTGACCACTATATATAATCTGACCAATGAGGCTGAAGAGCGAGAAGGGTCACAAATAAAGGTTTGAGTAATTCTTCTTTCCTTCTTTGCCAAGTGGCCACCATTGTTTTCTAACCAAGTATATAATTTTGCCACCAATAATAAACCTGGCCTGAAAACCAGACCCTTCTGAACCGAGCATGAAGCTCTCAAAGAGCTTTAGTCACAAACGTATAAATTTAATTTCTGCTGCGCTTCCTGTTTATTGTTCTGCAAGAAAGCTGATGTAATCTTAGTCCATTAACTCTTTCTAGGTTTGTTGGCTTCCACCACCACCACCTCCGACAGCAATGAATTACATGGCTTCCATTAACAAGTGTTTGGCACATCGTCAACACAATTGAGGGGTTAGACACAAGAAATACTAAGGCTTTTTTTTTTCCTCCTTCCAGTTTTCTTTTACATGGGCAAAGCCATGAAATTAAGGTAGTTCCACAATTATTCTTACAGGGTATTAACTAAACAATACAACAGCGGTTTGTTTTCTGACATTCTTCCCGCCTGAACTGACGATGGTAAGTATGTGTTACAGAATGGGAGACAGCTTTTTTTTTTAAAAAATTACATTTTCATTGAAGTCTTCGTGTGTTAGAAAAGAAAATCTGGTTGCTGATGTGATAAATTAATTCTGTAGAATAATAACTGCCACAGACTGTCAGAAGGAGCCTGCCTGGGAAAAGAACTGGCAATGGCTCCGCTCTGTTGGCCAAGATCACGGAGCGATTAGGGCAGGAATTGATGGCGGGCAGAGACAGTGCGCCTCAACCGGCTTCAATCAGTCCTCTTCTCCTCTGGCCGGAGGGAGGTTGGGGTGGCGACCGTGCCAGCCGAGACTGGGTGAGCTAGCTCTTCCCCGCTTTTCAAACAGATGCTACAAGCGCAGCGGCGTCGCCGGAGTTACCCAGGTGAGCCAGCCAGGTGGTCATAATCAGGGGAGGGACTCAAAGTTTTTAACAACCGGTTCTGTGGGCGTGGCTTAGTTGGTGGGTGTGGCTTGATGGTCATGTGACTGGGTGGACATGGCTTGATGGTCACGTTATTGGCTGGGTGTGGCCAACTCAACATCACTCACATCGAGGCATGCATCTCCTCGCCTGGCCTTTCGTGACTGTGGGGATGCTGCAACAGTCATAAGTGTGAAAAATGGTCATAAGTCACTTTTTTCAGTGCCATTGTTACTATGAATAGTCACTCCACACAAGCAAAGTATCAGCAAAGGAGGAGAAAAATAACTCCAGAGAAGTTCCTGAGACAGGGAGTCTAGTCCTGCCAAGAATGTAATAAGGGTTAACAGAGAGGCAGTTTCTGTAAGCAACACCAGAATGTTTCCTTCCTGCCTTCCTTACAGGATCAGGCCAGTAATTTCTTCTAACAACCAGTTCTCCGAACTGCTTAGAATGTTAATAACTGGTTCTAGCGAATAGGTGCAAACTGGTAGAATCCCAGCCCTGGTCATAATCATCTATCCCTGAACAGGGCTGTCCAGGCTACGGAAGGGCAAGCGTGTAGAGCGGCAATTGCAGTAAAGCTGGGATTCGAACCACGTGGCAGCTGTCGGCCGCTTCGATCGCCGTCAGCCTGGTCAAACCTGCGGATGGTCAAAACCAGGATTCTTTCTCCTCAGATCGAAATTCTTTCTCCTCAGAAACGGAGCCAATCTTTGTCACATCTCTATAGGGCCAAGACTGAGTCGAAACTGGAGTCTCAGCAGTTGATGTAAAGGTGTGGCAAACGATTGAGGACTCAGTCTCTGGGCAGAAAGGCAAATGTGGATTCTCCAACCGGCAGACTGGAGAACAGCTAATTCCCCCAGACAGAAATCTTCAGAGATCTTGGAATTATCACTCCCCAATCTCCCATTCTAGCTGAGAATTCCAGGAAATTTATTTAACCCCAAGAAGACACCAAGTTTACAGAACAGTGATCCACAATATTAAAGATAATTAAAGATAATGCAAGAATGAAAAAAAAAAACACCTTCTGGTTGTATCTTCAAGTATGTTTCAGCAAGGAAGTGATTATGTCTTTTGACTGATTGGGGTGATGAAAGATAGCAAAATAAAATATCTGAGAAGGTTGGAGATATCATACCGGCCCTTGACAAGTCAAAAAGCCTTGAAGATTAAGATAAACAGGCTTAAGGTATTTC